GTATGATTTGTGATACAAATTCTAATCAAGAATTTGAAATTGATGAGTAATTCACATGTGACGTCTGTCGGGCGGAAGCAGCAGCGTCACGTGCCATGACCCACCCTCCTTTTCCCTGACTGGCGACCGCGCACTGCACCTTGACTCACGACGTGACTCTCGCAACTCCCGACTGCGTTCAGCAGTGAAGTGCGCCTGTGCACGCGCGCATCGGACGTTACACTCTCGAGTGGTGCGTGCACGCACGCATCGGACATTTCATTCTTGATTCTTGATTCACTCAAGTGGTGCGCGGACGACCCACATCGCGATCGTGGTCGTTCACGAAATCTGCACATCCACCTCGGTCCAGCGCGGTCTGATCGCGTGCTACCGTGCCTCGTTCGCGCCAGCTTCTGACGCGAGGCTCATAGGGAGTGATTATATACTGTTGTGCACATACCACCTCCACACTCCACTCGTACCTCTGTGCGACTGTAGGAGCGCATGCAAGCTGCAAGCTTGCAGGGTGGGGCTCATCTCGGCGTTAAGAGGCAACACCCGTTGAGAAGGTGCGGTGCAGTCCGCCTTGCTGGTGCCACGTAATGTATAAAACCAGCCCCGGTCCATCCCCACCTCATGCAAATCTTTCACCTCGCCATTGACATTGCAACAATTCACCAATAATCTACTCATTCTCAGGTCAAAGACAAAATGGCTCAATTCACTCTCTACTCTCACAAGGGACCCGGACCCAACCCTCTCAAGGTGGCCATCCTGCTCGAAAAGTTGGGTCTCAGCTACAATGTAGTTCCACTCATCTTTGGTCCCGGCGACGGCCAGAACGAAGGGGTCAAGGGAGAGAAATTCTTGAAAGTGAACCCCAACGGAAGAGTGCCCGCATTGGTGGACCATCAAAACAGCGACTTCACCATTTGGGAAAGCGGAGCGATCTTGCTCTATCTGATCGACAAGTACGGTCAAGATGGATCGTTTGGCGGAAAGACGCCAGAGGAGAGGGCTGTGGTCAACCAGTGGTTCGCGCTCCAGCTCAGCACTTTTGGTCCTCAGCAAGGACAGGTGAGTTTGTCAACACTCGCATGTCCGAGGTCGCTCGTGTCTGACAAATATCGCTCGCTATCACTCTACTTCAGGTCAACTATGCCTACCACTGTGAGTCCACGGGTCCACATGCATGCCCTACTGAAGCGATCCCGATCTCACCCGCTCTTCTCCTTTCTTCGCCCCATCAGACTGGGAGGCAACGTACGGTGAAAAGCCTCAAAAGTCGGTCTTTACTCGCTTCGAAGGCGAAGTGGCACGACTGTACACTCTGCTCAACGATCAATTGGAAGCTCAGTCTAAGCGCGGAAGCTCCTTTGTCGCTCTCGAGAGGCCAACAGTCGCCGACATCGCCTTTTACCCTTGGGTAAACATTGCCGGGTTTGGAAAGATCGACCTTGCCCCTTACCCTGCTGTCGGCAAGTGGCACGCCGCTCTCGCCGCCGATGCCGACGTCAAGAAGGCTCAGGCTGCTCTTTCCTGATCGACTATCATGCGTGAAGGTCTGAGTGATCATGGTCGCTGAGGGCAATGCATGTATCCAGCTCGCGAAGCTGCAGTCCAGTCGTGCGATGTGTTGCGAGTGATGCCCCTAGACCAACGACAACGATTGTAATGTGGACTCTTCGCTCAACAAAGGCAGACCAAGCGCTTCATACACGAGCTGCGTCGCAGGTGGTGAGAAGGGCTTATTTCACTTGAGCGGCCGGACCAGAAGAAAGGCATGCGCAGCAATCACTTACTTGTCTCGCTTCGAAAGCCGCACCCCATGATGCTTGATAGCCAATGCCTCCAAATCTGAGTCATGGAAGGGAAACTTGTCAGCCGATTGAAGTCTTGAAGTCGGTGCCTGATCTTGCATCGCGTCGGGTGCGTGCTAGATGAGGCC